AAGGGGGGGAAGAAAGATAAAAAAAAAAAAAAAAAAAAAAAAGGTTTTGTGCGGTTTTTTTCCTTTTTTCGGTTAAGTTTCTGCCGTTAAGGTGGGGTGCGGGAGCGGCAGGACTCGGTGCTGGCCGTTAACGGCATGGTCCCCGCCGTTAGAACAGCCGTGGGTGCCGTTGGTGCGCCCTGCCGTGCAGCAGCTCCGGCGGGCAGGAGGCCCGGCTGGCGCTGCCTTCTCCCCGCGTCCCGACGGGTACTTCCTTCTGCTCCCCCCGGCAAAGGTCTGCCAGAGTTCCGCCCGGAATAACGCCTTGGCTGCAAACGGGCAACGGCAATCCGTAGGGATTGCAGGCAGGGTAGTCCGAGAATGAGGAAGCCCCGTGCTCGATTTTAATGTCAGGTTTGCTTTGCTGATAGTCCGCTCTTTTCCATTTGGTGATTCTGCCTTTGAGTACAAACCATGGCAACAAACAGCCGTTGGAAGAGAGCTACAGCTATTTTGAATGATTAAGTGTCATAATGAAAAGGTGCCGGTGTTTGTGCTATTGCAGACTAAACAGCAAGGCTAGAAAATAACATGTGGAAAAGATAACTGACTGGCACATAAAAATTAGGTTTAAATGGTCTTTTCAATTTTTGTGCTTTAAAGCGGAAGTATAGAGTGTAGATGTTCTAGTGTAAGAATTTTAAATTACATTATTAACTCTTTAAATTTCTATTTGGTTTACGGCATAAGTTTCTCTAAATTTACTTTTTAAAAAGGCTCACTGTGGTACATGTGCATAGTAGGATGTGCTTTTGTGGTGTGCAGAGCAGGCTTGAGGCACAGAGTAGCCAGCTAAGCAGGCTGTGAGCTCCATCGAGGCAGCTGAGGTACGTGCAGGATGAGCCGGGCAGCAGCTGCGAGCTCAGCTGTAACCCGAGCATTTGCTGCATTGAGTCTTCTGGGTGTCACAGCCTGGCAGCGCCTAGGCTGCAGCAGTCGAGGTGCGGCTGCTCCTGGAGCCCTGGTCAGTGCCAGGGAACTGCCTGCGTGTATGCTGGAGGCAGATTACCACCACTCTAGCTGCTTTAATTGCACTAGGCAGAGGTAAAAATACACTATGTGCTTGCTCGCTACTGCTTCCTTGGGAAAGTGGGTCCTGTGATTGCTGTGAGGGTTTTGGAAAGATAAATAAAGACATGACTTGTGTTATTGGGCATTAGAAAAGGCAGTCACTGAGTAATCTGCTGTATTGGTATTTGGTGAGTGCTGTTTAATAGTTTTGTGATTGTTTGCTGTGAAATGATGGTAATTTATGTCTTCTAAAAATTATTTAAATTTCCAGAAAGTCCAGAATCCAATTCTCAAACTCAGTGCTGTGCCAGCTGCCTCTTGTAGGCAGGTTATTTCTGGCATGAGCTGGGGTAAAATTATGGTGAAGGGGTAGAGTAAAATACACACTATTCAACATCAGGTTACTTGCTAACAAAGCAGCCAAAGAGAGTGTGTGTCTGTGTGTGTGTGTGTGTTTATGGAGCTCCCTTTGGCTAAGCAGAGAAATCTGATGGGGGAAAAAGTGGATTTTTTTTTTCCAAGCAATCAGAACAGTGGTAAAGCCAGATGTCACTTAAAACTGAGTGCTTGAGTCCTTTGCTTAGTTGTGGTCTTTGGGGAATTGGGTTAACACATAAAGCTTCCTTTTACAAGCTACAGGTTTGAAAGAGAGATTTTCATTTACAGAGGTTTAGTTTTTCTTCATTTCTGCCAGTATGCTTGGTTGTCCCTAAAGCTGTCCTCCACTTTGAGAATGGAGAGAGGGAGCATTTGCAAGGAGTTCTTCCTCTGAAAATCTGCAAGGAGCTCGTTGGACCTTCTTTTATCTATTTTCATGTCATTACATGCCTTGTATGTTTACCCCTAATAGCCGACTCTTGCCTGTTGTGCTCTTAGTCTGTTTTTCTTTGTGCATATGATATGTAGTGTGAAACTCAGATACGTCTTCCGTTTAAAATTTTTCAAATCCCTAACCTGTCCCAGTTTGAGTAGCTCCTTGGTGGCCTGCCTATCTCATGGAACTGATGGAGTCTGGACTTTGCTTTTCCAAGAGGGTGTTTATTTAAGGGTGGCGTTTTGTTGTTCTTTGATAGTGGAAATGTTTTTCAATAGTGTCTGAAAAAATCTCAAGTTGTGTGCAGCTCATGAGCATAGGAGGAGGTGTGTGATGTGACATGGTTTTGCTTTATTTATTTACATATTTTTCCTCTGTGCTTGTAGGGTAGCGTGCATCCTCCACATGAGTGTTTTGGGGGCGTTGACCTGTCTAGAGACATAAATCTATGAAAGTAAGAGAGAAGGCATTACATTTCTCTTCTCAGAATAATCTCACCGATCCATATTTGGAACTAGTTCTCTTAATATCAGTAGGAAGATAAACCAGTGGCTCACATGTACCTTAATCTGTAGTGTTGTCTGAACCCTGAATGATAACTGCTAGCCACATTCCACAGTTTCACTTCAGCTAATGATGTGGTATGTCCTGTTGTTTGTAGTTGGAAGCTCATTTCTTGACCTGAATAATAGCTCAAAAAGTTAGAAAGAAAGCAGTGTGTAAAATGTAGAAGAGTGTGAGGGAAGACGTGGAGGCAGATTAAGAGCTGAAAGACTACAATATTGTCTTTTTCAAATAAAAGTTTGTATGTTTGTGAGTTTATACACTCAACACAGCAATTTCATGATGTGAACTCCACTTTCTCTTAACCATTAGCAAAACAAGATCCATTATAGGAAAGTGATGCAAGGGCAAAGGCCCTCTCTTGGCTATTAGAGGTTAAATAATTATTTACTATTTGGACTCTGTAGTTGGAATATTATCATATAGTCTAGCTCCTCCAGCCCTTTCATGTAGTTACCTATTGTAGAGATAGTTGACTGGTGGAGAGTTTTGGCTTTTTTTCCTTCCTTGTCTGAGAAAGAGTAGCAGCTAAAGTGAAACCTTAAATAAAATGGAAACAAGAATGCTGTGCTTTCAGTCAGAACACTTGAGGAATTTGATAGATTTATTAGAAAATATAATGTATTTCCCATGAAGTATTCCCTCATTTGTTTGGTAAGTGCCAAAGCTGAAGCTCCAGAGACACTTGGGTTATATTTAGCCTTATCACAAGGCAACACCTTTGAAAGTAGGTAATGAAGCCTGAAAAAAACCTTGAGTGCCCTTTTACTAGCTGCTTTCAGACTGGCTGAGGGCAAGTCCCTGGCTCTGCTGCTGCCCTGCTTAGTGGCTTTTTGACTGCTTCGTGCCTCAGTTTCCACATCTGTAAATAGGTCATGGTGATCCTGCCTTCCCCTTGTAAGTACTTGGGGTCTGTTGCTGCACGATGTTGCATGTGAGCTGTGATAGCAGCATTTTACAGATATTGGTGTAGCATTTGGACACAAACAGTGTTCCATGTGGTTTGACCTGCCCTTGTTTCTCCTCTTTGTCTTTTTCTCCTGCATTTTAAATTTAGAATCGGTCTCAAAGGGCTTTTTCCTTTTCCTGTTTTCCCTCATTACCATTTTTTTGTCCTGCAAAATAACTTTCCTCTCATTTTTTGTCCCTCCATGTTTTTTCCTCTAGCATCCTGCATGTTCTTTCTGGCAGTCATTTCTTTTGTTCACCAGTGTCTTCCTCTTGCTATTCCTGTCTGTCCTCAGAGCAACATTTCTCTCCCCTCCATCCGCTGGGATTTCCTTTTCACCTGACTCATCCCCAGTAGGTACATCCCCGCTCAGTCATGCTCTCCCTGTGCTTCTGTTCCGGGAAACCCAGCCAGCAGGGAAGAGGACCGCCTCTTGTACCCTCTCAGGGGAGATCCCCTGGAGTCATGGCGCCCTCCCTGCTTCCCTGCTGCATCCTGCTGTGCCTGGATAAGAGCAGGGCGTCTGGAGACTGTACGAGGTTTCGGGGAGCCTCTGACTCCCTGCTCCCTTTCTCTGTGCCTGGCTTTTGCAGCAGAGCTGGGAGATTTCTTGCTTCCTCCAGCAGCGAGGGTCATCAGTACCTTGTTGCTTTCCCAGCACACTGAGTGACTCAGGAAACCTCCTCCCGCTACTGCGAAATGCCCGTGCCGGTGCTGTGAGCTCAGAAGGCGTTGTGCTGGAGCAGCCGGTTGCTGCAGGGAGGAGCGGCTGCGGGGGTGACAGGAGCAGAGTCAGAACAGTTCAGAGATGGGCAGGGGAATGATATGGTTGACTTGAGGCAAGGTGAATGATTTCAGAACAGGAAGGGGGGGAGGGATTTCTCTGCAGTCTGCTTCCACTTGAGCTGTCCTTAGTATAATCACTGCTGCGGTAGCTGGTCCTGCAGGCAGGGAGAGAGGATCTGCGGGCTGAGCTGTGTATTTAGGATGGAATGGTGCTCCTGTTCTTTGAGCTTCTGTGGTAAACAATCTTGCTTAAGCATGGTGAAGGAAAAGAAGAATGTATGGTGTAGTTCTTATTTTTTTTTTTAAGCTGGTTTTCCAACGGCACAAAGGAAGAAAACTGACAGAACACAAAATCTTCCTTTCTTGTATAACTAGTAACTGTTGCTCTGTTTTATCTTGTTTTGATGGAAGAATATGTATGTATTTACACAGTTTTGGGGATTTGTTGTGCTGAAGATTTTTTCAGTTGCCAAATTTTCTCTTTTTTCCTTGATAGACATTCAAGCCCGTGGTTGGAAAAAGTGTGTACAATTCAATTACTGCAGTAGAATTCCTTGTGGACAAACAGCTGGATTTCATAACTGAAGATAGTGCCTTTCAGCCCTATCAGGTAAGACATTTGACTAGTGTATAAGTACCATTCATTTAACTTACTTAAAAGCCATGATTTTATTGTTGTTAAAGTGCATTTCATATTCAAGTTCTGTGTTACAGGAACAATTTCCTATTGTTTATTGGCAGAGATTGTTCCTTGTTGTGAAAGATTATATATATGATTCTAGTTAATCTGATTATGTCAAGGAGTACTGTGCCATGAATATTACTGTAGCACCTTCAGTATTTTGACCCCTTTAAAGGTTAACCAGTACCATTCTTCTGAAGCTTTCATTTCCAGATCTTTGCATGATTACAGTGATATCCCACTTAACTGATTTTTGGTTCTCTTGGAAAATGAAAGCAGAAAATGTTAATTTCTTCAAAAATAAACACTTTTCTTACTGTTGTTTTTAAGCCTGCTAAAATTTCCAGTATCCTGGATTTTAGTGCCTCTCCATTAATTAGAAATATATTAATGTGTGTGTATTTAAAGAACAGGAGAATTAGTGTTTCTCCTCCTTCTTCAGAAGAAAGTCCGAAAATCTCTTTTGTGACAAATAGAAAAGTACTTCAACTTGTGCTGCACTGATTGCAATTAAAATAGCCATAAATTCTTCCTTATGGCTTGGATGGTATACTGGTGATAAAATATATCTTATTTTATAAGAAATAGTACTTAGAGGCTTGGAATAACAGATGGCCCTGAATAAATGCTATGTAATTTTGTCCTGACACCCTTTCTTCCCTCCTGCTTCACCAAGATGTTTTTTTTTTTTTTCCCAATGCCAAATATATAGCTAGAAAAAGAGTAGCTGAGACAGAATTCTGGGGAAAGGAGAGGGAGGTTCAGTTCATGGAAGGGCTGGTGTTTTTATGTGTCTGTGGTAGGGAAGCCGAATGAGTTGAACATTTCTCATCAGGGTGAGGTTGCATGTTATGACTCGAGCAGCTAGAACAGCTTGGCTCTGCCGCAGACAGCAGTTCCCACTATCAGACCCTACACTAATGCCTTCAGTCCTCTAAATCAGCACAGCCTTGATTTTTGAACATGGGAGGGGGCAGACACGATGTGGGGGAAAAGCCTGTGATGTTGATGAGCTGAGCTGGATTAGCTCAGGGTGCATCCAGTGCTGTGGCTTCTTCCATGGAGGGGGTCAGGATGACGCAACACAGAGTGGGATATCCTCCTTTGGCAGCAGCGACCTCTTAAATCAGCTGAGCCATGAAGTGTAAATTCACCCTCAGACTCCAGCCACATCCTTCCAGATTAATTTTGAAAAGCAAATAATGGTGCTAGTATCTGTCCTTTGCCTGAAGTCTGTCAAGATGTGTCTGATAATGCTCATTACAGTAACAGTAATCAATCTCCTTTTGGCATTGGATCATTTCTGATCTGAACAAAGCAAACTGAACACAGGAGGACTGCCTTTTGTTAAGCAGTGCTATTGCCAAGCAGTGAAATAGCATTGTTCTATGCATTTTAGGCTCTTCAAAGAATATTGACTGATAGAGCATTAGACTTCTAAGCACCTTTAATTTGGGAAGGTGCATTCAGGTTGAAGGTACCATTTTAAAAAATATTTCCTAAGAACAGCTGGCTTCATACTATCTTGATTGGGAGTACCGAATGCTAATACTGAAATTAGCAGTGTTTGCTAATTTCACTTCTCAAAGAGATATTCATCAAAAACTGCTACAAAGCAGTAGCTTGTCAAAAATAGTTCCAGAGATAAGCTTGGTCTCCCTAACTGTTGGCCTCTGGTTTTGACACATAGAAGGCAATTCTGTGTAAGATCAGGATGTTTCCTCCTCTCATGGAGCAAATACTTACCTATTGAAACCTGAGATGGACCCTGTTGATCTGTATCCATCATGATTAGTTCGGTGACAAGAGACTTAAATTGTTTATTTTAACATTACAAGAAGTTTGGTGACAGATTCCTTTAAGTACTAAGACGCCCAGAATTTTCATTTTAACTGGATATTGCTTCAATATTGAGTGTAGTAACATAAAACAGCATTGTGCTCACTGATGGATAGCGCAAAATTCCTTTATTTGAATGACTATAAAAAGCTTGAGAAATGTTTTTCATAGGAATGTCTCTTTGCAGGGCTAGCAATATCTCAGTGCCAAGTTTTACAAGTTAATTGTACAGACAAGAGCTTTACTGAATGATAATGTATTCAAGAGACCAGAAACTATATGTACTAACAGTATGTTAGACAGAAATACTAGCTTTATTACTGAAACTTATTTTCTGCTCAGAGAAACCTGAAGTGGGAGGATTGTTTCTATTCATTTTGTGTGCTGTTTTTTGTTAATGCTGAAAATCACATTTCTGGCCATTAGTCATTTAATGTAAAGTAGTTTGTACTTGTATCTTTTTTCTGAAAGATCCCCCTTTTCTTTGGCCTCTGTTTTCTTTGCCATAATACCTGGTCCTAGATAAATCTTCACTGAATTTCCAGTTACTATCTACTTTGCAAAAAAAAAGGCTTTTTTTGCTCCCTTGTTTAGTCTGTAATAGTACTGATTTGCTTGTGAGCAGAACACAGAACTGAGGAATCATTCTTTGTAGGGATGAGTTAACTTTGAGTCTTCTGAAACATGTTTAGCTTTTTGTTTAAGCTCTCATAGCTGCACATTTTCAATGTGAAGTCCTTAGAGACCATGGTGACCTAAACACTTTTTTATTGCATTTTGCTGTTAGTACATAAAATTCCAGGATCTTTCTGCCAAAACAAACAAAGTTTGAATTTGTGTGGGAAGACTCCATTTCACTTCAGATCCAGTTCTTAACTATTAATTTTTCCCATCGTTACATAGACTCAGAATACTGGTAATGGGCAGCAGGGGACTATTTGGTACAAATTCTGCTCACATCGTTCTGATAAAGAAACAGTAGTGTTTCACATAACTATTGGGCCAAAAGGCTTCATGAACAAGGTGCTGCTGTCCAGTGTAAAGATGACAACTGCTCAAAGCAAAGAAAACAGCACACTTGGCAACCTTTCAGACTTGGCAGGAAAAACAAAGTTTGGGTAGGCAAAGAACTAAATTACCAGAAGTAGTTCTTCCAGAACAAGATTAAAGAGACTTTGGCAGGACTTCTGGGGAATCGTGACCCATGCATTCCCATGCCATGTCTGCTCTTTGCATAAATAAACATGTTTCAGTTAAGAGATTCAACGACCTTGCTATGGGCTAGATTAATATCATTATTAAAAGTAGGGTGTGCAGCTGCATTATATGAGCCTGCTTCCATGTCTACACAAGGTTTGCTGTACCCATTATAACACTTGCCAGTGAATTTGTTCTTTACTGCTAAATGTGCATGTGGTTCTTCTTTTGCCTTATGTGTGTTCTTCTTAGAATCCTGCCCTTCTCTGTACAAATTGCTTGGATTCTGTATGTGTGGTGCCATAAACACCAACCTGCAACTTGTTTCTGGTGGCTTTTATCTCTGTGGCTTCATGGAGGATGTAAACTTTATTATTCTGTGTGAAACTTGTGTGTGACTGAGTGACTCATTCATTAATCTGGGATGGTGAGACCATTTAGTCATTTTTATGGTGGTGATGAGGGGATCTTGAGGATAAAAGCAGATGTGAACATTTGCTGTGGTACTTTGCTTAGCAGTGGAATGAAAATTCTGTCCTTTGTAGGAAATAATAGACATAAAGTTTACAACATGCACTTTTTATGTCAAATTAGTATCTGTAGGAAGTGTAGTCTTGAAGTGGACATGTAAGTTAGGTCCTTAATGTGAATTCCACTTTGCATTCATAATATATCATGTATGTTCTTAATCATGTATGTGTTTAAAAACTCACAAGTGTAGTGGGTTTAATGATGGCTCTTGGTATAGTCTGAAAATGAACACTTCTTCCAAAAAGCAGTTTTAAGGAAAAATTACAGTTAAGTCGACACATACAAGTGTGACCTAAACCATATACTTTGGACTGAAATGGTTTTCTGTAATAAGTTATTTGTACTGTTCTGTGACATCTATGTGTGTCTATTTTGTGATACATGTTTAGGCAGCAGCAAAGCAAATCATACCTTAATTTATTTAAGCACTGTCGTTTACCTGAAGGACTATAGATGGGGATGTGAAGGATTAAAGCCCGGTTTATGGTATGTGTGACCTCATCAGAGTGGTGTTTTTGCCCTGGGTGATGTTTGGCAGTGCCCATCAATGACACTGTTGGGCTAAGTGTGTGATTCTGCTGTTGCTGGCTGAAGCAGCTGGAGTCAACTGCATTGTACTTCAGACAAGCAAATGAAGAATAACAAAAACTGTTTTATATCTTGTTTTTTCATAGTGAAATATGCTTGTGGAAAAATCTGAAAAGACTGCTTTGCCCGAAGCACTGAGTGCATTTCAGCTGTGTATCTGGGTCAGGCGAACCAAGGGTACATGATTGATTATATACTTCCAAATATGTACATACTGTGTGTGATAACGTATTTCCAAAGAATTTCTGAGCACACAGCACTCTGGAGCAAATGTGCACAGTGGAGGCAGGACAGAATTCAAATGAAGTTCCTTCACATTCATTACACTTCCTGCAAGGGGTATTTTACCTCTGAGGGAGAAAAGTGGAAAGGTGCGCAGTCTTCAAAAACTACACTTGCTAATTTGGTTAAAAAAAAAAAAAAAAAGAAGTCTTGCTAAGAATGAACGTTTATGGTGAAATTTCTCTTCAGGCCTTACACACCCCTTCAAAACTTTTTTTTTTTCCCTGGAAGACAAGACTGGTTGCTTTAGTGTTTCAAAATGGTACAGTCTGCCTGTCTACCTCTGTGATGAAGGTTGCAGATGTAAAGATAGGGCAGTGAGAAATCCCTCGTGGGAGGTGTTGCATGAACAGTGATAGGCACCGGTACTTTGCTCTTTTTCTAAATGTGTGTGGCACGTCTGAATGTTGGCAGGTCAAATGTCTAATATGCCTTAAAGATTGTTGAAATAATCAACTTTCTCACTAATCATGGTTGGTACATCAGAAACC